CCATGGGAGTACATTTTTGGAACCCTCAGCCCTTTCTATCAGTGAGCTCACTGGGCCACATTGCAGATGGGAAACTGCAGTTTCCAGCGTGGGAAAATGCTTTTTCAGGACACTGTGTATGTATTGTATTGCAGCTGCGGTGACCCAGGTTGTCTGTCCTTTCCCTGAGGGGGTAACACATATTTGGGGTGGTAGGAGGAAATTGGTGAGTGGCTTCAAAAGGTGGTTTGCAGCTGAGACTTTGAAACCTGGTTTGTGGACCTCGAGTATAGAAGGTGCTCTTTGCCTTTCACTTGGAAGTGAGAGGATGTTGAAACGTCCACCTGTGCTTGGTGCAGAATTATTAAGTCTCTTCAGCATGCTAGCAGCATTGCACTGCTGCAGCATTTCCATACCATGCACAGATGAAATCAATTGTCATCCTCCTTCAGTATCAGAATGTGCTTTGACCAATGAGAAGGTTCAGCAAACGGACAGAAGTTCAGGTGGCCAGCCTGTCCTGTCCTCTCCATTGGTGTTGAGGATACTGGCAACCACTATGTTGCCACAGTACTGTACCTTCAGTTCAGTAATGCAGCTGCTAATGTGAGCACTACAAATATCTGATCTAACACCCTAGGTAACACAAGTAATAGGACCTCCCTTTCTGAAACAGCATTTCAGCTTACTTTTGAGTTTGTTATTGGTGGAGAATCCAGGCAGACTTTTAAGGATTTATTTCCCTCTTGTTAATAATAAGTAATTTTTGCCTGAGTTCTGGTTCAAACCAATGAGAAATACGATAAACATGTTTGTCATCTTGCTTACCTACTTGGACATCTGTTGTGGTTTAATCTCTGCTGGCTCCATGCAGCTACTTGCTTACTCCCCTACCAGCAGGATGGGGAGGAGAGACAGAAGCGTGGAAGTGAGAAAACTCATGGGTTGAGAAAAAGGCAGTTTAACAAAGCGAAAGCCACAGGCACACGCAAAGAAAAGCTAAGACTTCATTCCCCGCTTGCAGTGGACAATCCTGTGTTCACCCATCTCCAGGAAAGCAGGACTCTATCATGCTTTAATGGTGACTTGGGAGGATGAGCACCCATCACCCTGAATGTCCCCCCACTATCTTCTTCTTCCTCCAGCTCTATATGCTGGGCATGACACCATATGGTCTGGAATATCCCTTGGGCCCGCTGGGGTCAGCCATCTTGGTTGTGTCCATTCCCCATTCCTTGTGCACTCCCAGCTTACTCACTGATGAGGGGTGCACTAGAAGCAGATAAAGATGCATTGTAAGCTCTGCTCAGCTATAGCTAGAACGTCTCTATGTCATCAATATTTTCCATGCAAATCCAAAACACAGCTCCATATTAGATACTGTGAAGAAAATTAATGCTACCCTGGCCGATACCGGAGCAAATTCCTTCATAGCTGAGTGACAATGAGGATTTTATTTTTTTTTTTAATGCAAGCACAGCCCTTTAAGGAGTTTCTAATGCTTTGCAGCAGTGTTAGAATTTAAATTAGCACCATTTAAGCGACACATTTCTAGCATTTATGTGCAACACTTTTTCGAAATCTGTTTCAGACCAGCACCTCTACCTAACAACTAAGCTTAGCTTTATTGTCAGTGTTACTATGAAGTTGGAGGTTATCAAAGTTATATTATTTGAGATACAATGTTTTAAATGCAGGTGTTTCTTATTTCTTAATATAAATACCTGAGTGCATGGCCAAAACTGTGCTACACTAAAATGTAAAACTAATGGCTCTTCCACACCAGACCAGCTGTCCATAAAAGTGTATGGAACAGCAGCAAGTTGCAATTGCTTAAGGACTTGAGCTTTGAGGGGCAATGTTGCAATATTGATCAACATATTTTTTGGAAATTATCTAGCTAAAACATGTACCTAGCACTTTTTTACCCCTTTCTAGATTTAAGCCTCTTTGGTTTTACAGAAATGAACCACCAGCTTGCCATAGTTTCCAACCACCGTAGCCTTCTATGGCACAGCTACAAGCACAAAGCCCAGTTGCAGCTGTGAAGAAGGTTCTCCAAAAGCAGTGCATGACGCTCGGCAGCCACCCAACATTTTTTCCACAGAGGAACATCTTTTCCCAGGTAAAGGTTGCTGGTCTGAACCAGCTCTTGTGACTCTAGGTGCACAACTGTGGATAATTCTGCAGATACAAATGCCCAATGTAGATTTTGAGTAGGCTAGTGCTGCAGAAGAACTGCTGTTCCTGGAGCCATAGAGGCCACATTTCCCACATGTAGCAGATTTTGAGCAGTTGCCCTTTAGAGATACGCAGACACTTGAGGAGTTAGCAGGATTTACACTGTATGACTGTTACTACAGATTTCAGCTCCTAGATTTTGATTTTTTTTAGTGAAAACCACTTGCAAAGGCATATTGTCAGGTGTATTCCACCTGACCTTCAGACCATATCCTGGAAGTATGAGAAAAGTAGCCTATTTCTACTTCCAGCAGTAATTCACTTCTGGAACTCCTCCACCTAGCTGCAGCATGCTATTTTTAAAGCTGGAGCTCCCTGTCTCCTGACTTAGTGGATGTTAGGACAGCGCAGTATCTTCTGAGTAGAAGCCAATTGCTGCCACAAAATCCAAGCTGAACAGTGTACTTTTCACCTAGTCCAGCTCCTAACGGGTAATATTCAGAATTCAGAAGGACATTGCATATTGAATTTGCTTCAAGCAACTTTCCTGAAATATTTCTCATATTTGGATGAAGAACAATTACCCAGAACAGAGCAGGTGGGTCATTTAGGAGGTGTAATTTTAGGGGGATAAGAATATACAATTAAAAAATTTAAAAAACGCATTCAGAAAGTGAGCCTGACACTATGTGTTAGTAATTCTCTTTGGCTCCTTCAGTACAGTCTGATGTCTTCTACAGGTAAAACTGAACTCTCTAAGAAGTGCATTCCACATACCATGAGAAGTTCCCTGCAGGGTTTCCTGCTGGGGACACTGCAGGGAATAACCAAAGGGCACGGCATGCCCCATCACTGCTGCA